TTAAAAAATATAAAATCCATGATTTTAATTTTTTTCTTTTAAACATCATTTAAAATTAAAAGAAATTAAATTCCTGACATTTTCGCTTCATTCTCTGGGTTCAAATATACTTAGTACATTACTTTCGTAGCTCAACGCGTTTTCTGAAAGCAAAAAAAAATTTTAATTATTTTCTTTGATAAAATTTTTTTTATTTTATTTTTTTCCGGGATTATACATTTTTTATTATCTGATGGATACTTGAAATGAGAAAAATAGCATTTCATGCGATTCTTTCGAAGAAGCAGAAAAAAAAATTCATCTCATCAATGTTGCTGTAAGCATGTCAAATGAATATAAATGGAAGTTCTCTTGCTTACTTTTCCACAAAATAATGAGAGCAAATAACCATCGAGTCAATCGCAAAATCACAAAGTCCCTTCCAAGAAACATATTTAAAGCCCGAGAAACTTTTTTGAGAGGCCGGTTAAAAAAAAAGATCGGCATGGCTTTTGTTTTCCGTAGCCATAGAAGGACCCCGGTCGTATTTTCCTTTGGATAAATTAAAAATTTCAAGTCGGGGCAAAAAACACACGGCCGTTCTCGGCATCCAATTAAGGGAAACTTTGATTTCAGTCTTAGAAGTGGAGCGAAAAAATACGGAAAAAGAAAAAGAAAAAAAATAGAAGTGCCCAAGAAAAGAAGTAGGTAAGAGAAACACGAGGAAAAAAACAAGAAGACGGCGAGTGTGAGTCTCGCGGAGCATCTTGAGAAGGCGCACTTGTAGAGCGCGTGGAAACTCGGAGAAAACCTCACCCCACTCGGTTCCGGGGGAGCTGCTTGCCGAGTCATCTGACTTCGGATTTTCTTCCGACTCCTTTTTTTCGTCGGGTACTTACACGCGCTGTTGAAAATCGTCGAAAGACCCGCTCGCGCCGTTTGTGTGTGTATACATGTATACGGGCGCTGGTTGAAAAAGTTTCGGGCGAGGTATCTTGAATAATGAGAGCTGGAAGGTGGGATATGGATGCAATTTTCATTGAAGGAAAAAAAAACATGGATGATGCTACGAATGAGCTGTGAGTTTTTGAATTTTTTAGATTTTACATTTTACCTTTGCGAAGCTGAAGGAAATTTTGTACTTTTCAAGGAAAAGTGAATATTCAAAGTTATGTTAAAATTTTTATACATCCTTCATACTCGGAGGATTCGAATGCCGTCTCTAATTTCACGTTTTTACTTGTTAAATATTCACGGAGCTACGCTTGAAAAGATAAAATTCACCCGTTTCGGGTGATCAATTCCGAAAAATATTTTATCAAATTTTTTATTATTTTGACCTACCAAAGGATCAAATATGTCTCTGGTGTTTAATTAATTTTAATTTCAAACTTTGTCACGCTGCTTCTGTACCTGTAAAGAGAGAGGGGGGTACTGAAGATCCGGACGCTGCTCGCCTCGTTCTGCGCCTTTGTCTCTCTTCCTCTGGATTTTCGCTCTTGAAAAAGCGGGATTTGCGCAGGATTTCTCTCTTTGTACGGAGAGAAAATAAATGGGGAAAAACACAATCACTTTTAAGGTAATTATTTATTCTTAATCTTCACAACGTTACAGCACGTCATCTTGACGGCAATACAGCGGCTCCGCCTTACAGTGTCAGCCACGAGTGCACGTTTCGGGTCCTACGGCCAGGAAGGGCCGCAACTCAGTCGCACGCCTGGCCCTTGTCGCTCACACTTACACCCGCACGCCTACCCTTACACACACATCCCTTGTCCTTACTAGCCCTACGTTACTCTCTTCTCTCTCATCCTCCTTTGTACTCTCTCTCTCTCTCTCTCTCGTGCTCTCTTGTACTCTTTCTTCCCATCCCCGTCCTATCTTGGTCACCGCGCACTTGGTCACGCTACAATTTTCTCTCTCNTTTTTTCTTTTTTGGCCAGCTTGCATTTGATTTATTATGCGGAATAGAAATTTCTGCTGAAATTTTGATTATTTTTTTCTTCAAGTGTAGGGTAGGGAATGAATTTATTATATGATCAGGAAAAAAAAATACGTTTTTAGAAACTAAAAATCATTCTGATATTATCTAAGGTAAGAATGAATGGCTCCACGATAATTTTGATATTCGCATCAATCAACTCGCCGACCATTGCTAAAAGTCAACAACTTTATTATAGTAGCACCGTAACGAGCTCGAATACAAAAAGCATATTCCTTTCTCTCGCGTTGTCGCAAGGCTTTTGTACTCGTCAAAGAACGTACACTTAATCACAAAAGAAAACACGCAGCAACTCTCTTGTCTGAATGTAGCAGTTTTCTCAAGACGGCTCCGACACTCTATCTCTTTTTTCTGTGCGTGCGCGCCAGAGGGAGGCTTTCGCCTTCGTAGACGCTAAGAATAAAATTTTCTCCCTCGCGAAGATTATTACGGCACGCACACAATGGACTGATTTTTGCTACGGAACGGCGTTTTTTGTCGTTAGTTTTCCGGAAACTTGGAGTTGTTTACATTTTTACCTTTGTGTTTGAGTGCGACTTGAGGAAAAAGTTTGTTTTGTTTCAAAAAGTTTATTAATATGCTGTGATGCTGGTATACAATTTTCTACTGTAATTAAGGATACCTTTGTATGCATTACCATTTTTTTACACAACAGTGAATGGCACCAGCAATACAAAACAGGACCACGATTCGAAAAATAGAAGCTAATTTTTAACGTATTTTGCTTTATTAATATATTCATTAATACAGATAAATGTTGTGAAGAGCATTTGTTTGAATCGGATTCAAATAAATAGCCGATCTCAAAAGAACACCTCATAAAAAGGTTATGTTTCGTTTTTTTTGTCCTGCTTTTTTATTTTATTATTCCAAACCCAAACATTAAGCACTACTGTGTAATTAATTCTTAGTCTATTTTTTAAATTCCATCCAATTTTATTAAAAATACAGGTGACAAATATGAAATGGCAGAACGATTTAAAATTAACATAACCTATCCTTCCAACTTCTTCAATGGAGTTAGTAAGTACCTTATTTTTAATTTTAGTTAAACGGCACACCAGACTTTTTTTAATAATTAAAATTATGACTACTTCGTAGACATCTCTAAACAATCCCTACTCCATAGAAAATTCCGTGAAAAATTTAAGTTTGTATCTTATAACAGGTTAGAATAAAGACACTTTGGGCCACTTTTACTAGAATGGTAGCACTCGTAGGTCCTACATCTCTGCATACAATACCTAGTCCCTAAATAAGCCAACGTACACTCAATCGCTGACAACACAAACACGTTAGCCAATCGGAAATTACGATCCAACAGTGGTGACGTAATATCCGTCACTATCTCATTAAGTTGGTGTGCTTGATAACTCGTATGTTTTCCACTACACCGGCACGTATACTTACAACACGGTCGAGGTGGATCCGTTTATTTTTTCGGTTGTATATCAACTTTGTTAAATATATTTTTAGTCCCTGTTTGTTTAGTACATGCAGTACTTAGGCTTATTAAAGTCAAGGAGGGAACTTGTTTTCCTGCAGGGTACCATGATACCTTCATACTGAAAAAGAGAAGGTAAATTTTGTGGTTATGATTCAAAGTGACGCTTTGCGTTTCTTATTTACGTTTCACATGAATTTTGTTTCATTCGTATTTATTTTTATATAATGGATGGTGATAATTAAAAATTTTGAATAATTTTTCTTTTAAAGGTGATCTACATCTGACATGGATATTGCATCGAATATGAGAACTAATTTATTCCTAACCTTAAATAAGTACTTATGCCCCATCTTCGAAGCCATAGGATGTCTAATAATTAAAAAAAATAAAACGTTTAAAAGAACCATGATAAAACCCAAACTTTAATGTAATTTACACTGTGTAGTGGTAATTTACTTAAAAGCGTTATGTTTAATTTTTTTAGTCGATACAAAAGCATCGAGCAGTGAATTTCATTGATTAAATTAAACGTAATTAGAACAATGTAAGATAAAAATAGTTTTAATCAAAACCATATGAAACGTGAAATAGGAGTTCATGAGCAAAAAAATCTTGCCTTTTGTATGATACTTTGAGCTAAACTGTACATCTACATCATATCAAAATGATACGTTTTAAACTTCCAGAGAGAGAGAGAGAGAGAGAGAGAGAGAGAGAGAGAGAGAGAGAGAGAGAGAGAGAAGACATGGGGGTTGCTGTACGTCCCAGTCAACTTTCCCACTTGAATAAAATTCCTCGCGTTCATAAACCGTCAGGACGCGCGCTACGTTTATAACACCTTTCACCATACACCCACTTTCAAGTTTCACGAGGTTAAGGAAGCTACAGAATTTCCCGTTAGAACATATCTTCTTTCTGACGGCAGGAATTTCTCGAGGAATAAGGAACAGGTGGAATGCGGACAGGCGTGAGGAGGATATAGTTGCTGAATTTTCACGCCCAACTCATGTAGGGTACATGAGGTACAATGTAAGCTCGACCCCTATTATACTCTGGTTGTTATCGTGAAGGTATGCGCACTTGTCTCTTGGCATCTTCATGATATAAGAAGAAGTGGATTAGAATTTGTCAAAGTACAATGTGGCTTTTTTTACCATGGTTACATGAAAAATATATCAACTATCGCGTTCGTTGAAACAATAAAAAATAGGTACGATAGTCGGTATTGTTTGAAGCTGCAATTCTATGAATGGCGTGGTTGTTGGTGATTTTATATTGTCTGTCAACGTTACGTATACGAAGCAAAATTCAGATTCGCGAGTTACCTGACAAACGTGACGTCTCATTAGTGCGTTCTAACAAAATCGACGAGCATAATTTTGATGTAGCCGTAATGAGTGGTTGTTATGTCCACAGCATGTGGTTGACAAGCACGTGCGTCGATCGATTTTGCGTAACGTTTTCGGGATTTTTGGATTAGCGGCTGATTGAAATCAAGTTATCAGAGTGCGTGGGTGTAGTCAAATTGATAATATTCGTGAAATAACATGGTTGTTTTAAAATGTAACTTACCACATTTTAGGAGAATGAAAATCAAGACCCGCAACGGCGACCATCTGGACGGCCAATTCATGTCCACTACGTCATCGGTGATTTGCTTCACCAACAGTCACTGTAAAACAAATACAAATACAATACTGTAAAACTGTAATACTGTAAAACAAAAACAAATACAGACATAAAACATTTGGCACGAATTGTTTATTCGACAGTTTTCTTATAAAATATTGTGAACATTAATTAAATGTTATAATTAAAGGTGATTTGTTTTTTCAAAACAAACGCAACCATGTACAATGATCCACATTTTCTTAACTATTTATACTTGAAACACGTAAATCACAATGAGTGACATTTTGATCGCCAATGACTATTCATTTTTTTAAATACGAGTTTATTTCTTACTATAAATAGTTAACTTGTTTAAATCAACAAACACTTTCCAAATAAAAGTTACATAAATCCATTTGTTCATTATTAAACTATTCAAAGTAGATATTTCTGTTACTGCAGTTTGAAAAATCATTTGAATATTTTAAATTTGATTAAACATTTAGTAATATTTACTAAACATGTAATACGTGTTTATTGTCGGTCTTATCTTTCAAAAAAATATTACTTCGGAGTGAATCCAAGATCCATAACAATTATGATGTTTGATTACTTCGGTGGAATATCGCGATGAGTGATTGTAATTCAAATATGGATCAGATTTTAAGATGCTTTGCACTTATGTAAATTAGTAATTAAAGAAATGTTAATTATGAAAAAATTCTGAAATTTACAACTGCTTGTTTTGGACATGTTTACAAATAATCTCATTCATCACGAGCTAGCATATATTTGGTTCGAATAAAACCACTAGTTACTGTTTGTTTTGTGATTTGAAAATAGATGTAATAATTTGACTATAGAATCATGTTCGAGTAAGTAATTTCATTTGTTTTAACCGCAACAACTTTTAACATTACACGTAGTATACAAATGTTATGGGCTGTTTGTTCACATTAGTCCGATCTCAGTTTCAAGTATCCAGAGAAATTTTTTTTTTTTAATTCATAGAATCAACTTAATCTTTAACGGAGCTATATTCTTAAAAAAAAAAAAAAAAAAAAAAAATTAAAGAAACTTTGATCAATCCTTACGTTCTTGGACGCTTAAACTTAACCATATGACATAAAACCAATGACAAGTTGTATGAATGAATTTGAATTTGCTCCAAAAAACGAAGTAATAATATAATTCTAAAAAACAAAAAAAAAAAACACGTAGCAGCTGTTACAATAAACACCCCAAAATCACTAGAGTCATCAATCACTCGAGCATGCTCAGCCGTAACTCTGATTCATTGATAATTCGAGCCTAAAAAAAAAAAGAGAAAAAAAAATCCACGACAACATTGTCGACAAGATGATCGTACGGTGTGCACACGCAAGGAGAGAGGGAGGGGTTTATATATACTTGGCGATGCGCTCCACGTACTCCGGTAAATCGAGCGTGTGTAGCGTCATCGGGTTGCAACGTTGGTGGAATCCTACATAAGAGCATGGCTCGCGCGCATACTGATGGCGACGCGCACGCGACCGCGAGATGTGTATCTCTCCGGCCATCTGCTGCGGAAGCGGAAAAAGCTCTTCGATTCAATGATGGCTGCAAAGGTCGACGGTAACCGAACTGCGCTCTCGTATGTGACCTGTTACGTGTTTACAGTAGGGGGGAAGAGGGTGGTGGAGGTTGTTGGCTCTTTTTCTGGATATAGCCGGAGTTATTGCTGGATTATTGGGTTTTACAAGATAAGTATACGGATGCTGTGAGGTATATGCAAGGAGAAGAAAGTTACGGTAATGTTTACCGTGATAGAATTATAATGGGAAGAAAGAATTGTTATTACATGTGTATAGAAGATTACTATATCAATTTTAACTGCAAAACTATGGCGATTTCAGGATACTGTGACGATACAGAGATTTTTAGAATAGAGCTATACATGGTGAAACTTGTCCTGAAAAAGGAGAAAAATTATAGAAATTGGTATGGCGTCTCAAATTTACCGTAGTTTCAATTAGACTTAATTTAATAGATACACACGTAGGAGCGTGATCGTGCCAATACCAGTGTCAATAATGCAGTGATATTAAAAAAAAAAATCAACATTGACTTTGGTATTATGAAATGATTTGATACGTAAATGTGCAAGATTTAAGGTAATATTTTATTCACTAAAATTTTTATAAGTAGCAAAATAGTAGGAACAGATGTCCCTCTACATTCATTTTTTTTTTATTTCTACGGTAATTTAAGAATTAATATTTAAAAACATCACAAAGATTAACAAAACATCAGTCAGACAGCGTAGAATTGGTTTTTTATAAGCAAATTTGATATCTTAAAGCATAAAACGAATTCTTAACATAGGTATCAAAATAGTAGGGACAAATACATGTCTGAATATTTTCATTAATTCATTGTTAGTTATGGAACTGATGTGAAACATATTAAACACTACAAAAATTTGGATCTCATAGTGTGAAACTTATTTATTCCTCCCCTAATTGTTAAAAAATTAGTGAAAAACATTAAAAGTATCTTTATGATCTTTTTTAACTGTTGGAATAAGCTTTTTGTTTTAAACTCTGTAATATCTCTAATTGTTGGACAAATCCATAATAATAGTCAAAAAAATAGGAAATGGCACACTTATGTTTTGTTGATTATATTATAGTTGAAAAAATAGGGTAAAACATTATGGACACCACTAAAATTTCCTTGGGATATCACAAAACTAAGTTTTTTTTCGTAAATTTACTGACATCGTTAGTTACGAGACACAGTTTTGAGGCGTTTTAAAAAGTGGGAACAAATCCTCTGCTGATATTTTTTTTTTAAGGAGCCAATTTTTAATTACTATAGTGGCTCAGAAATATTACTATAGTGGCTCAGAAATTAATCACTTTTTAGCAACGAAAAATATAAAAATTTTACGCGTCAACAGCACTTGAAGCCAATAACTTGCTTGGTAATTGCAATAAGGCAGTTAATACGACAAAACGTTCCGTAATAAAACATCAAAGACGAGAGGTAAAGAAACGAGGATCGCGCGATAATTGCTTCTCCGGTAAGTGCTCGATGTGCCGTATACCATAGTTACCAGTCCAGAGGTCCTATAAAGACACCGTGAGCGCGAAAAATCTCCGACGACGATGAAAATGATTTCCACAAGTCCCTCTGATTTTCCCGTTGATTTCGTTATCACGTGAACAAAGTTGACATCGAGCCAACCTATACGCGCACTGTTATCTAATTTACGAGCCGGAAAACAAAGTTTGCCTCTTGTATGTACGGTGAAGTGTTCGAGAGAGAAGGGGTGCGTGGAGTTTGCTATGATGTGCATCGTTTCCAGGACGGGAAGGGGGAAAAGTTACGGTCTTCGGACTGACGGTAAATTATTACGGAAACTGAGTCTCGAGTTCCGAGTTCCCCGTTGATACATGAATGGTCAACGAATTACTCCTTAGCTATAGAAACATTTAGTGTAGCTACCAACGATTATTCTTTTACGAAAAAAAAAAAAAAAAATTTTCAGGCTTTAAAGTAAAATAATACTGAAGAGACCAAAAATCATTTGCCAATTTGTAACCATAACTTTGAAAATTCACTCTCTAGTCTGTATGTGGTCAGGTGTAGTTTTGGATCTTATAAATAAGACCTACTATGTTTGTTTGGAAAAAAAATCAGTAGTACTCGTGTGATACTCCAAAAAAGTTCTTAATCACGGCAGTGAGAACTACCCTTTTGAATAAATAAATACGGCAAACGTTGTGTCTGTGGGGACTGTTTGTGGTTAAAGTTAAGATCAAACGAGTTGACTACGTTTCTGTTGACTGAACTTGAATATTTGATTGGAAGTTTGTTTACGCGTTTCTGGAATGAAAAAAAAAAATAAATTTCAAAAAAGGATGATGTGATTAATTTGTCTTTTTTTGAATGAACTAGATTTATTCGTGAAATAGGAGATTGAAAAAAATATTGATGGTAATATTTTAGTGATGGTAGCTCGAAGAACGTCATAAAATACACTTTTATCATCCTTGTGTCGTAAACGATGTTATACAAGTTTTATGGGAGAACAACGTGATAGAAATGAAGTTGCAAATAAAATTTGGTACTATCTTCGTTTCAAAAAAAAAATGTATTTTCTTGCCCCTTCACACAAAAAAAACAACTTAAATAATACAGATTTCTCAAGTTTCTCTAAAAGTATAGTTTGTTAAACAAAAGATTTAAATTTAATTAACGAATTCTGAAATCAACTACCGATGGATAGATAGTACTTAGCTTCGTCATATGTTGATTAACAGTTATATATTTGAGGTATTAAGATTTTTCATTTTTCAAATTAATGGTTTACTGTTAAATTATTATACTTTTCGACAAATGTTGTTCTCAATATTAACTATTGGATAAAAATGATGACAAAATTACTAGCATTATTTATAGTCTTTCTCAATTTTATATTTCATTTTATTAACGATGTTTATTAATTATATGACCTATGAACGTTTTCAAAAATGTCATAAAAAATTATCTATCAATGACGCTTTGACGATTATTTTTTATGTGCAACACTACCTAACCTTTTCAGATTTTTGACAACTTTTATAGAGTTTAGAAGCTAAGATAAACAATTTATGAATATGGTACATACTAAAAAATCATTAGTTATAAATTCATTGATTATAAAAATAATATATTAGATAAACATATTAAAAATTTAATTTTAATTCGATTTTAAATAATGAGTTACTCATCACGAAAAAGATAAATCTGTACAGAGTAAATGTAAAATTAACTTTAATTTGTATAGTTATTTTATAAAGTAAGAAAAATTCATATTATAGTTAATAAGAGTAATTTCTTAATATAATTTGTAATTAATATCTCAGAATCGATACGAGTTATTGTCAGCAGATGAAAATATATATTTCTGTAAAAAAGTTTGTCGAATAGTTTTAAATTTAAGTCTAAAAAACTGTATCATGAGACATGCTTATAAGAGCAAGTATTAATACAAAATGTTAGATAAACATTTATACATCTAAATATTACCCTTAT